CCCCCCCCCCCCCTCCAGTCTTGGTCTAGGCGTCCAGAAGCGCGTCGACGAATGCATCTTCGTCAACCACACCGTCGTCCATGCCATCACCGGCCGCGCCGGCCGCTTCGGCAGCGGTCGACACTGGTCCAAACGGCTGAGAACCCGGAAGCTCCTGTTGCCCAACAGGAGGCGGGTTGGAAGCGGTGCGGATAGATCGGGGGTGGGGGGTGTACCAATGTAAACGCATGCCGTATAGTCGTCATTTGAAATTTAGACCACTGACCTCGAAACGTCGTGACGGAGCGATAAGCTGGGTTCTCGCCGGACGGGGGGCGTCACTGCTACTTGTCAGGCTGGAGAGAAACAGAAGCATGCCTGTCGTTAGACGAAAAAAATGCGTTCTGGGGGGAAAAACCTCAAGACAGCAAACATACGACACGTTTCGGCCCCGACGTCTTTGAGCAACGCACGGCAACCTTGAAGTTTTTCCTGCTTCATATCTGTGCCGAACAAGCGGTCAAGAGCTTTTGACTGCATGCCGTAGGTTACACAAGGTACGACATCTCGTGGATCAATTTTCTAAGGCTGACTACTCCACGACGAACAGGATGCCGAAATCAAGAACCAAACGTTTTCGCAAAAAAAGCGCTCGACGAGACGGTTCCAACGACACATTATTCGGCACCACGCTCACTGCTGTTTCTGTAGCAAAGTTAATCGAGTTTCGAAAATCGACCCAGGGAGGTGTCGCATCTTGCACGACCCACGGTATGACGACAGCAAACACACACGATTGCGCGCGTGCCCACACACACGCAGCTCCAGCGTGAAAAAACACAGCAGACTCGGCGTGAAAGCAGGGCACCAAAAAAAGCTTACTTGGTCCTCCATGAGGCTTTCCAGGTCCGACAAGCCCGAAAGGTGCCCCTCTTCGGCATCCGAGCCCTGCAAGCCGGACGGGGTCAGCTCGTCCACAGCCAGTCCAGCGCTGCCGCCGCCGCCGCTAGCAACATCGACGTCGACGTCACCGGCACTGCTGCCACTACCACCGCTGCCCCCGCCGCCGCCAGCGCTGGCCGTCGTCGAGGCTGCCCTCGACGCCGCCGTTATCATCATCGTCGAGTCCACGGTACCGATGTCGATCGCCGCCAAGCTTCGCCCGGTCTCCGCCACTGCCGCCTCCGATGTCGCCACCGCTGTGGCTGGCACCGCTTGACCAACCCCGTTGACCGCCGCCGGCGCCGTTACACCGCTTGCAGCAACAGCAGCAGGGGTTGCGGTTGACCCGCTGCGGTCTCCGGCCGCCTGAGAGGCGGCGGCACCCCCGCTGGCGGGTGTCTGCTGCACTACCCTGGACGGCAGCGGCGATCCAGCCGCGGCGTTGGCAGGAGCCGCTGCAGAACCGCCGGCGCCGTCACCATTTGCTGCGGCAGCAGCAGGACGGATAGCAGCAGCGGCGGTCGCGGCAGGGGTAGCCATGGAAGACGGAGCAAGAATAGGGCCGGAAGAAGCTACCGGCGGCGGCGGCGGCGACGACGGCTGCTGTGCGGTGGACGCAGCAGTGGCAGGAGAAGCAGCCGGCACGCCATTGACTGCGGCCGCCGCCACAGGGGTTCCCACCGATGCCACCACCACCGCCGGCGATGGAGGCGCAGCAGGCGGCAGGCACGCCACCGACCGGGGCGGCGGCAAAGACCAAGACGACGGCGTCATCGCGGCAGCGCTGGCCGAGGGCCGTGCGATGCCGTCCACGGCAGCGGCAGCGGTCGAGGAGGTGTTCGTCGTCGTCGCCGTGGCCAGCGGGGTCGATGAGTCCACGGTGGTGGACCGGACCTTCTTGAGCAAAGGCTGGCTCAACAGCTCCGACGACGACGCGACCCTGGCGACGCCGGCGTGGGCACCGGCACCGGCACCGGCGCCGGCGGCGGGGGCGGGGGCGGGGACGGCGGCGGCCACGGCCGGATTAACCGCCGACACCGACGTGACGGCCACCGCACCCCCGCTGTCGGCCAGCCAGTCTAGCCCTTCAGCCTCGGTGAGCAGGTCGTCCACGCCACGGCCTGCTCGGTACCAGTTCGGAGGAAGGACCGCCGCTGCCACCGCCGTTGCCGCTCCCGCCGTTGCCGTTGTCGGCGACGCTCCTGCCGACGACGATGCGTGTCCGGCCCTGCTGAGTACAGGAAGGGAAAAACGCGCGCGGGTACCCAGAGAGGGGGGCAGAGAGAGCGGGAGAGGGAGGGAGAAATAGGGGGGGGGGGGGGG